GTGGCTGCAGAAAGTGACATAATTTCACCTACTGCTTCATGGAAGCCCTCGTTGGCACCACCTCTTAGCAGGTAGGGCTGCGCAGAGTACGCCATGTCATACTCGATGTGTCCCATCTCGTGGTGTGCGGTCAGGAAGTCATCCATGGTTACTTTGGTGCACATCTTGATCCTGCATGCCAGGGCAAAGTATTTGTGGTTAGAGAGACAGTGGCCCAGCCAGCTGCTGCCCGAGCCCTGCCCACCACAAACGTGGGGCAAAGCAGCCTCCAGAGCTTGCAAACACCCCTCGCCCCTCATAAAATCTGGGCGGACACATCCTAGCATGGGGCGCAGTTCCTCCTGCAAGAGCGAAGCTTGGAGGGGAACTCAGCAAAAAACTTTCAGCCACCTTGAAATTGAGCTGTGAGTAAGAGAAAATTGCCATTTTGTGAGAAGCAGCTGCTCTCTGAAATTTAGCGATAAACTCACTGTGTGTGTTGGAATGAGTACCCACCATCACATTTAGGCAGACAGTAGTGTAAAAAACCCTGTGTGTCAGTGACTCCTACTACTTCATCCTCATGTAGGTACTATTTATTAAAAGGATTTCTTCCAAATAGGCTTTCCTTTCACCTTCCCCAGACTGTCGAGGTGTGAGGTGTGAGGCTGGCAGTATGCACTAAGGCTCTGCTGGGGACCAGCCTCTTTCCCCAGGTAATTGCGGGGACTGCAAGAGGGGACGGAATTTTCCCCAGGAGACTTCATTGTATGGGAACTTGCTGTCCCTCTCCTTTCCCAAATATGGAAGAGAGTGATGGATTTTCATCAGCCTGGATATATCTGCTAAAGATAGACAGCAGGCTCTCAGGAGCTACCCAGGGACCCTGTGCCATTGCTGCAGAACATGCAGGTGTCCATAAATGTCACTGGTATCCACAAGCACCCACATTTCTGCTTATTCCTTAAGCCCTAGAACACAGTCATTATTTCTCTAATTCATGCAAGTAATAGTCACTCCTCTACTTAAATTTGAGAGAGTAGTCCTTAGGTCTTCACAGAAAAAGTTACACAGAAAGGTTTACAGTCCCACAGAATCCATGCTCTCTTGTCTTCCTTTCCCCTCCAATCAGCCAGAAAAGAATAATAAATAAGGAAACATTATCATTTAAACAGGTATGGTGCACCTTTAGTGAAAATACGAACATTCTAGGAGACAGTACTAAAAGGGGTCATAGTAATTGCAGTACCTGTAGTCATTTTTCCCCAGATCCCATGCTGTAGGATGGCACACAACCTTCCTGTTGTCAGTCGGCTCTGTAAGCATGGAATTATTCCAGAAGCCCTCAGTCATTTTGTCAAGGCCAATGGAGGTGAAGAAAGCCTCAGCGGCTTGGAATATTTTCATTGCATCCCATTTCTGAAAGAGACAACACCACCATTAACCGCTGCTTCTGCACGGAGCCTGTTCCCAATGGCTGGCTTAACACAGGGCAGATGACTTCATATTTGTCTCCCAGTGACTTCAGATCAGCACCTGACTTTCTGAGAGTAAGACAGTAGCGTCTGCCTTCGGCACTTCTGTAAACTCTGCTGGGAACTGGAATTAAGTGTTTTCCCTGCAAACAAAATAGGTTTCTGCACTCAGAGGTTCAACAGATAGCACCTGACCCAGACCAGAGAAGCGCTCAATAAAAGATAAGGTAGTGAAGATAAAAAAGGC